TTCGTGCAATTGCTTTGAAGTATAAATGTCAATGCAATATTATTATTTCAACTGGTAAAATTCTTTCCAGCTAAGGAAGTACACTTTCAAAATGCAGGATTAATGCTTTTATAGATTTTACGCTGCAGCTAAAATGACAGTCTCCACAGTTTTGATAATTATAACTTGCAGTCCTTTTTTAAAGACTGAAAGACCCTATATGTGACATGGAGTGCACTATAAATTATTGAATTTTTAATTAGAAACGAAGTAAAGAAGGAAGGGAAGGATTAGCAGAGAGCATTTCCAGTTAGCAAACAATACGTCTTGCTTTAGGTATAGATCACATTTAAGTTTTATTCTTATTTTTTGCTGAACTAAAATGGATGTTCCATGAAGATGTTTATTTTTTAAATTATTATTCAAGACCTTAGTCATAAAGATAAACTGTGTGAATAGATGACAGTGTGCCTGGGATGCTTAGAAAAATATAGGCTAGAAGTTCATTTAAAAATGGCATCACAAAGGGCCAGGCAGAAAGCTCAGCAGACTGAAGCACCTACTTAGGCAGGTACAGGGGCTGGGGTTCAATCCCTACTTGCAGGGTCAGCCCCGCCCCCGGGGTGCACTGAGATAGTGAATGAGACAGAGCATCGTGGCGCACGCCTGTAATCCCAGCACTTGGGAGAATGAAAGCAGGAGGATCACTATGAGTCCAATCTGTATAGTGAGACCCTGTAGACTCTGTACTAAATACACTAAAAAAAATAATAAAAATGGCATCACATATAAGCAAAATAAGATAAAACAACATAACAATGCTGCTTAGTGTTTTTTTATTAACAGTTTGAGCTAATTTAGATTTTTTAAATGTATTTTAGTACAGGGACTACAGGGTCTCACTACACAGATCTGACTCGTAGTGATCCTCCTGCTTTCAGCCTCCCAAGTGCTGGGATTACAAGGGGTGTGCCACCACACCCATTCTAGTTTAAGGTAATTTAAGTAAATGTTAACGGACAATAATATTTTTGGCACTGAAAGAAGGATTGCTGCCTAAAAGACGATAATCTATTTTCCTAATTTCAGATTTATACTATAGACTCTAGTTGGCGCCTGATGACTAACATCTGCTCAAGCAGATAATTTTGTGATATTAAAAGCCATACCTTCTAATAAAATTCATATTTGGCAAGAGATGTCTCAGGAGTTATTCGGGGGAAATTAGGCAGTAATAGGAAAAGAGTCTCCATGTGAACTTCTGTGGCATATTTCACTGCTTCTCCAGTGTGGCAAGATCTTGCATTTTGGCAGTTGGAACACACTATTCACCTGAGAATTGTCAATCAAGCTCATTTTGACAGACACAGAATTTATGAATTGTCAACACGTCTTTGATGTGGGAAACCAGCTTTTCTTCATTAAGAAGAAAAACTAAAACAAATGGTCTGGGTGGGCCAAATAGCTCAGCAGATTAAAGTGCCTGCAAGCCCAGCCCTGGCCTGGCCCCTGGGTCACGTTGAGACAGCAATTGAGACTGGCAGTGCATATGCGCCTGTAATCCCAGCTCTTGGGAGGCTGTAAACAGGTGAATCACTATCACTGATCTAGTAATGAGGCCCTGAACACCCTGTAGACCCTTCCATAAAATACTAAATAAAATAAAATAGAATAAGATAAAATGAAATAAAACAAATGGTCAAATCAACTGAAAATAAAAATGTTGTCTGGATAGCATTTAACATGTGCCACATAATGTGAACTTCACATGCTGTAACAATTGGAATATGTGAGGCTAAGGTGCAAGCTGAACGAGTATTACTGTGCTTTTTCAAGTGGAATTCAGGCCAGAGATCAATGATTTGAAGGGGTTTATCCCTTGAAATCCATATAAAGTTAATTAGTTGTCATCGAGAAGCCCCCATAAGTACAGCTATCTAATACCTAAACTGCTGACAACCTTGTAGGCTATTTCAGTAGTGGAAGCCCGGACTGCACACACTGCACTGCATTAGAGTCGGTCCCTGGAGGACAGATGGAGCTTCGCTGGCAAAGACACTGTGCAAGCTCCATTTGACTCCTCATTAAGCCTCTCCCAGGGATTCCACTTCCCTGTGGTTGTCATTGCTTCTCTCTTTAGACAAGAGAAGTTATGTACGGTGCGAATCTATCCTAGGTAAAGATACATATTTTACATATTTAGGGAAAGGTTGTTATTCCTCATTGACAACAAGGCAAGTATCTATCTTACATGCTTAAAAGAAAACTTCCAGTTTTCCTATCATTAATCACCTATTATTCTCATAGGAAATAGAGAACTTCGATTTGTAAAGATTCATTTTTAAACGCTTTGTCTCAGATCATGGAAGAGAGTCTAGTTTGGCTATGTTTATCTTTTCTGTAGGCAAAGCAACTTTAGGGAAAAGTAATTCAGCTTCCTGGACCATACAGTATTGTTGTGCTAATGAAACCAGAAGAAATTTGTTAAAGCAATTGTTGACAAATAAACTGCTATTTGCATTATAGTTGCCTCTGGCCATTTTTGTTGACTTGGGATCTTGAAAATAGCAAAAACATGATTTACCATCTGTTGGAAAGACTGCAATGGGAATGCCAGTCCTAGCAACCATACAACATGCTTTACAGGAGGCAGCTCCACACTGCTGGTGTGGAGCAGCGCTAGGGTTCTTCAGAGAAGTCTCCAGGAAGAGAATTCGCAAGACTGCTATTAAATGCAATAAGAACAAATAAAACTCCTTTATCCTGCAATAAATTTATTGACTGCTTCACTCTGGAGAGGAGATTTTTAGTTATTATGAAATAATACTTTTAGTCCTCAGGTCACTTCATCACAGTGTTGCCAGCAGAATATTAATCATGCTTATTTCTGATACTATGCTGGGGAATGCCTCACTTGCTGTTTAATGTTGCTGTTCCCCTGAGGTGGTCTGTGCGCACATCTTTCTAACAGCAGGAAGAGCTAAACAAATTGTGCCAGAAGTGATAAGAAAGAAAATAAAACATAGCAAAATACGATTATTTAAAAGTATGCATTATTGTGAAAGGTCTTACAGCTATCAGATGAATGTATGGCCAAATTATTCCTGTCTCTTGTGGTTGATATGTTGTGTCAATTTGAGAAGGCTAGATTAGGTACGTAACTCAGCAGTTCTACACTACATCCTAGGGTGGAAAGGACAGATCTCTCCTTCCAGAATGTTGTTCCTTTTGTCAACTTGAGAAGTTTAGAAGTTTAACTAAGTGACTCAGCAGGGGCCAGGGTCCTCACTGTGTAAACATCCCGAGTCTGAATGCTGCGCCCGCCCGCCGGGGGCAGGCAGCCTGCTTACAGGATAAGGGAGGAAAAGAGGCTTGTTCTCCCACTTTTTGCTCTTGCTGCTTTTGTTGTCTTCTACTGCTACAAACTAGGGCCCCTCGGCCAGGCCATCCTGCCTAGGAGCCTGCTGATTATGGTCTAAAACCTCCATAAGCTGAGCTATATAAGCCATTCCTTCCTTAGTTTTGGGCGTCAGGTATTTTGTCCTGGCAATGAGAATAAAAGGTAACTAAGGCATTATTTGATGCTGGAGATACAGCAGGCAACCCTAATGTCATGTGTTTATCACACACACACAGACACACACACACACACACGCATGCACGCACGCACACACATGCACAGTCTCACGTAGGGCCATAATTCACATAGAGCCAATCATTTCAAAACCAAACTATTTATAAGAAGAGGTATTGTTGGCAGCTTGTGTGTGTGCAACTTCGCCACTGACTTAAACATTTCTGTAGTTCTAGATGTTAGATCTAGACTTTTGAGCAACTTTGAGAATAAAGGACAATGAAATGCTCCCTTCAGAAACTTTCCAAGTTAAAAAAAAGAAAAGAAAAGAAAAGAAAAGAAAAGAAACTGAATCAAGCTAAAGGCCCTTTACACCCAGTCCAACAGATGAAATGTTCAGAAAGCCACACATCTAAAACTCTAAAGAAGAAGCTTCTGCTTGCCAAGAGGAAGGGAAAAGACGCAGGCTCCCAGAGGTCTGGCCTGAGGACACTCATGTGAGATTTGGGTGGGAGCAAGGTAAAAACAGGAAGCTTCTCAAAGAAGTCTCCAAAGAGGATATTCTCACACAAGTTCAAGCCATCATTCTGTATTTTCTGTGTATGGACCTTAGTCCTCTGAATACTCATGGAAATATGCTCAATCTAAAACTTTCTCAAAGGATTAGTTTCTGGCCATTGTCAGGGTAGAGAAGGAATAAGTAAACACTGCTTTTTTTTTTTTTAAGGCCACTATTTCTTAGCTGTGTCACTGAGGCAAAGCGGGTGCCCAAATTCTTCCTCCATGTATGGCCAAGGTGACCTTTCCTGTCTCCTGGTGCCAGATAGGTCTTAAGGATAGACAGGAAGTTGACTGCTTGTAGTCCACTCTAAGGCTAGTTTATATGCTCGTGAGAAATGGCTTCTGTCTGGACAGTGTTCACCACAGTTGGTTTCGACTGACTCAATCTTTCAAAACAACACACATAACAACCAAAAGGACAGGTAAGTAGTGTGAGTCACACAACACGGAAGTCTTTGCTTGCCCTTGTAAAATATCTTGCTTTAGTTACTCATGGATGATTTTTTAGAAAATAGGTCTCTTTGTAAATGTGTACAGGCTTTAGTGAAAGGGCAGCCTGAAACTTACATGAACTCTTCTTTTGAAACGAAAATGTATATAATTGTTCTTTCTTTCTAGTTGATTGCAGAAAGGAGAGAATTAAAGCAGGTTGTGTGGGATGAGGGGGAATGCCTTACCCGTGTACACACACACACACACACACACACACACACACACGTGCACGCACACACCAGTCCATCTCTACTATCATAAGTCCCCAAACCTGACTATTCCTTTATAATGCAGCACAGATGGAAAGGGTCTGTGGGGACTAGGATATGGCCCCCGGATTGCACAAGAGTCAGCGGGGGACCTCAGAGAACTGTTGACTGGGGGCAGGTTGAGGCGAGCCTGGACTGGAGAGGGCTGAGAGGCTGCAGTCACTCTGTGGCTCCGCAGTTGGGCACGACTGTCCCTAGTGCTGAGGACCACGGCCCGCTGGAGGCAGCGCCCCCGCCTTTCCCTCCTACGCGGACCTCGCGCCTCCCCTGGCAGCCGGGGGCTGAGGCAGCGGAGCCTCGCCCACTGCAATCCCCACCCTCTCCATCCTTGCCATTAAAGAACAGCGGCGCCTGGCACGCTCTAGGAGGACTGGGGACTCCGAAGCGGAAAGGAAGCTGGTGCAGGGAACTGGGGAAGCAGCATGCGCCCGCCGGGAGCCGTCTCGGCTGCGCCCACCGTCTGAGCTGCAGCCGCAGCTCGCCATTGTGAGAATCCCTGCAGCGCAGCGGGTCCCCGGGTCCCCGGCCCCACGGCGATGGGGCACCTGCGCTCGAGGACGCGCAGTAGCCGCCGGCTCCTGCCTCTGCTCTGGCTCTTTGTGCTGCTCCAGGTAGGGGATCTCCCGCCTCGTGCCCGGCGGTCCAGCGGGCAGCTGCTCCAGGGCGCCCGCGCTCCGCGCGGGGGAGCGATGAGCCCAGGGCGCGCGGCCAGGCCGGGGAAGCCTGCGGTGCAGCCGGGCGCACGCTTTGTTGTCCCCGGAGTGCGCGTTCCGGCTAGTGCTGAGCGATGGGGCTGAGAATAAGGGAAGTTCGCTTCTTTCTGCCTTGTCCCTTTGTGCTCCGCACGCCGCCGCTCATATCCATATCAAAGGTGGGCTGGTGGGGTAGCGCTTTCTTAAACAAAATGAGGTCACTTGCCGTCGGATCCTCGTAGCGCCCCAACGCCTTAATCTTTCCACTACTCAAGAGAGTGCGAGGCTGCTTTGTCTTAATTTACCTTCCGCTGGAATTAAACGCGAAGGGCTGAAATCCCTGGTCACACATGGACTGCGGGATGGGTCGCGGCGATGGCTCTCCTAGAATAGGGACCGAGCTTGAGCCTGGCGACCCCCAGCCGCCGCGGTCTTACTTCCACCCGGGCAATTCCTTGTAAAAACTCTCCAGACTTCCTTCACTATCTTAACAGTGGATATTACCTCTAGTTTTATAAAGGGTAGAAACAAATGTGTAATTCACTTTATTTTCCGATTTTTTTTTTTTTTTAAGAAAGCATTTTACTTTGGGGAAGAAAGAAAAGGAACAGACTGCTTTT